ATAAAAACCAGAAGTGGTTTCTTGCATTGTCGACATATCCAGTCCATACCAGGCACCATCTCTGCTCTGGGGGGAGCAGGGACAGCCCCCAGGGAATGGCTGGAGCTGTGTCAGGGCAGGCTCAGGGTGGATCTCAGGGCAAGGTTCTTCCCCCCCAGGCTGGTTGGGCACTGAACAGGCTCCCCAGGGCAGTGGGCACGGCCCCAAGGCTGCCAGAGCTGCAGGAGGCTTTGGCTGATCCTCTGGGGCACAGGGGGTGACTCTTGGGGCTGGGCCTGTGCAGGGCTGAGGGTTGGACTGGATGGTCCTTGGGGGTCCCTCCCAACTCAGTATGTTCTGTGGTTTTTTTAACCAACAGTTTTAAATTGCTGCTTTTTTTTTTCCATTCAGTTTTTATGAAATCACACCGTTATGTTTTTCTCTTTCGTATCAGTGTAACTTGAATGTAATTTTGCCTGGTTTATACAGGAGATTTTACTTGATTTCCACCTGAAATGGTGCTGACTCCCTGACTTATGCCTTGACTCCCTCACCTGAAACCAAGCAACTGTGAAATACAAGCAGAGGCAGTTGTGTTAGATTTTGTGTGTCTTAAAACTAATTGCTAGTTGTTCCTTTCTTGTGCAAGTGTAGATTTAACATGTTTAAATAAATCTGTATACTATATATATATATAATAATAAAAGAATATAAATGTTGTAGCTTCTGAGAGTCATAAAGGTAAGTCATGCTGTGGAGCTCCATAACTTTGTTACATGCTGTAATAGGGAGTGTAGCTTTCAGTCTGTATCAGAAAGATGACCATAAACTGTGATTATCATAAAACCCCAGCAAATAAAAGCATTTCTTCATGTCTTTTCCTTCCCCATCCATTAACAGGTGCGTTCCATGGATGAACTGAATCATGATTTCCAAGCACTTGCTCTGGAGGGACGGGCCATGGGAGAGGTAAGTGAAAGGCCTGGAGAAGAGAACCACCTAATCTGTTTGTTTTGGGGGGAGGAGGAATGGAAATAGCGGGTTTTTTTGAGCTGCTGGGATGATTCTGAACTTGAGAGTTGTCCCTTCTGACTGGGAAGTGTGTGTGAGTGTTTGTGTGTGTTTTGTGTGTGTGTGGTTTAACAAACTAAAAACCTGTCAGGCTGGTATCTGTCTTAGTAGGAGGAACAGCTAAGCCTCCACCTGTTGGATCATCCAACAGTGGAGTGGTGGTTGTAAAAGAACAGAAATATGTCTTGTGACAAGTGTTACAATACTTGTAGCAGGTTTATTTTGGGCCCCAGTGAGCTCAGAGCCCGTCACATTGTGGGCTGGGCTGGCTGGCGTTGTCTGCTGCCCTGTTTCCACTCCCAGCCACCTTTTTTTTGGCTCCTGTCACAAAGCCCAGGGCTGTGTTTAACGTTTGAAGTAGCTGAGCAGCCTAATCCAGGGCTGCAGGAGTGATAAAGGCTCCAGCCAGGCCAGGGGGCTTGCAGGAGGGGGTAGATAATGAACCCCTCAGCTCTAACTCCACAGAAACCCAGACACAGTTATTTTCATCTCCCAGCACAGAGAGGAGGTGACGGACTTGGGGGAGATGCCCCTTGGGTTTCTTGGGAAAAAGAGAATTTACCTCTTTTTACGATGACTGGAAAGAGTAGCTTGTTGCTGTAGTTGGCTGTGTTATGTTCCTGGAAGTTGGATGTAAATGCTTCTCTTCCTTGCCTGGCTCCTTTTGCTTTTATTCAGTGCTGTTGTGGAAGAGCACAGAGGAGAAAATCACGCCTTGGAGGAGATCAGTGATGTGTGGCAGGTCAGCTTGATGTAGGTCTGCTTTGGAGAGCCTTCCCTGGTGTGTTCCTCTCAAGTTCAGACCAGTTTGTTTATCCACTTTTAGTGCATCCTGTCTCTCTTACAAATTTACGAGCTGTGTTTTTAAAAAGAAATAAAAATCCTTAGAAACCCTAAAGTTACTGCTTTGGAGAAAGCAGCAAACCAGCATTGTGGTGTGGTGGGATTCACAGGAAGGTGCCCTCTCAGGTGAAAGACCACCTTCCTCTCCTTCCTTCTCTTCATCGTAATAATGAGCTGGATTTTAATTTGACATCACGTGATGGGCTCTGTTTCTCCAGGCTGGATTAACCTACAGTGAGATCATTGACTAAGAGTAGGTGAAAATGGTTCAGAAAGGAGAAAACATGACATTAAAAAGTCTGTTCAAAGCTGCTGAAAAGCAGCTGCTGTGGCTCCATGTGCAGCCTGCCGGTGGAATGACAGGGGTGGGAGTGAATGTTCCCTGAAGATTGTTTTCTGACACCTCGTTTGGGCAAGAGGTTCGTTTTCGGATGGGGAGTGAGCACTCCCTGAGAGCAGGTTCAGAGCAAGTACAGCAGTTGTTTTGTGCTTATCATGGCATTAGGTCACGTAGCTTTTGACTGCCTGAAGAAATTCCTAAAAATGATGCTGAGTTTTCCCAGCTCTTGGTTCATTCAGGCACCTCTGAGAGAAGTGGGTTGGTGTTTTGGAGGTTTGCCTTCTAGCCATGACTCACCTTTTTATTTTCCCCTTCTTCTTGTAACTGTGATGCAGAAAGTTTTGACCATGACTTCCTTTTGCCACCGGGCTTTTCCACATCCTGGAATGAGCACGATTTTCCAGGAAAGGTGACATTTCACCCTTCTCTTTCAGCTAAACCACGATCTCTCGTTTCTCTTCAGGTTTTTCTCCCTCAGTCTCACACTTCCCCTCCTTTATCCGTTGCCTTTTCTCTGTATCTCCCCAAGGTTTT